TTCGTCTGTCCGTATATTATATACCCGCGACTACCCTACGCGCCACATCCGTCTAATTTTCAACTTGTGAATCGAGCCGCGTCAAAGTACATCGGGACGTAACCTCAAATTAGCCCTCGAGGTGGAAGTGGTAGCTTAATTGGATCAAACTCGTTATATATGTGTATGATGCGCCTGGATGTCGCTGCTGCCTCCGACGGAAAAAAATGGATAATGACCTCCCCTCTTTCCTCCTCTACCGTAAAATGAGGATCTAATGGAAAACGCCAAGTATAACTCGGTAGGAAAAACAACGTGTATTTTTGTTTTTTATTTGTGATTAGTTGAAAAGCAACCGGGCACGGCTCAGACGAGCTGAGCGCAAGACGCCGTAAAATTGAAGCCCTGAAAAATTCATGCTACTCTCCCTCTCTCTCCCTTTCTCTTTATTAAAAAAAGAAAAAAAAAAAGAAAGAAAGAAAGAAAGGAAAAACACATCGACACTCTTTAAACATGAAAATCCAGCGTTAACGAGCCATTTGAATTCAGTGCAAAAAAGCCAGCAACAGCAGTCGAGCCGATTACACGTACCGGAGTGGTGATCCTTCCGCGGGTGGGTGTACGTGTAACACACGGGTAGGTAATCGGCGCTCGAGGAGCCTTCGCCTTGCTCTAATCCGAGTGGTCCATCCGCTTCTGAATAATTTCGCGAGTCCCTCTGTCGGCTCCGGCATCTCGTGTCCGGCGTCATGCGCGCGTACACGCTTCGTTTGATACCGAGGCGATTAATCAACAACTAGACGGACACAACACGAAACGCGCTCCTGCCGGTTCACCCACAGGTATATGGGATTAATATTTCAGGGATCGGGCAAACGAATAAGATGGACTAATGATGAACCAGACTCGCGCGGAACGATCGAGGCGCGTGATAACGGACCATCAAGGGGGGGGGGAGGAAGAAAAACAAAATTCATCGAGGGACACGAAAAACGGCGCTATACGTGTATAGGGGCAATTATCGGGCGTGTGAATAATTTGTAACTCGGGCGCGCACGCCCCACGGGCTAAATAAATGGACCTTGCTCGCTCGGTGCAGGGCTTCTCTCTCTCCTGCAGGTATACCTAGACAAGTATCGTTTGGTATATAATAACGACCTGGACACGTAGTGGCATTATTTACCGCCAACGGCTCCTTTGCCCACCCATCCGTGCCCCCCTTCTTCTTCTTCCACTGCTTGACCGCTGTGAAATTAACTCGCCTCGCGTACAGCCCTTTTGTCGGGCTCTCTGAATAATCATGTTTGCCCTCGCGTCCTTACGTACAGGTAATTACAACGTATAAATATCACCGTGATTATTTGTTGTTTTAATTCATACAAGAAATAATTTATATGGGTTATACGCGACGCTATGGTGTACAAAGATGCCGTCGATATAGAGGGAACTGGGGTGTTTTTCGATTAAACGTCACAAAATTGGAGTGTTGGGCGACGAGCGCGAGATAATTGGCTGTAAAATTTTTAGCGAACAGCTCGCACGCGCGACCGCGTGATTTACATTATTACCGAAAGAGAGAGAGAGTCGCTGTTTGACAAGAAGCACGCGGCTCTTAGCTAATTGAGCCGGCGTTATTGAATTACCCGGGTACCGAGCCGATAACGAGCCATTAAAAAAACGGCCCCCCTTCGCTCTCGCTCCGGCGCATCGAGCCAATGAACCGAGTTATAATCCCCGTGGTCGCGTGTAATACACCGTTAGCGCGGCGGTGCAACGAACCGGGGTTTTCACGGGAGAGTGTATAAATAACGTGAAAAAGAGAGAGGCCTGGTGTGACCTATCGCACATCCGGGCGCAACAAACAGAGCCAGAGGAAGCCCGAGGAAAGAGAATAATCGGGACGCGGCGTTTAGCCGGGAGGGGGGTAACAGAAAATGGAGCGCACAACCGCATATAAAGAGCCGATGATAACGGAATGATATACGACTCGGTGTGAATAACACTGGGGGGGGGGAGGTGGCGCGCGACTTGGAGAGGCACAGACGCTCGTGATTGATCGGCTCGGAGATGGCTCGCTCGCGATAGCACGCTTTGGCAGATATGTATTGTACGCGCACACTGGGCTCGGATTAAGTGAAAATACACGGACGCTTAATGATCCCGATAGGGGCTGTACATGCACATATACGTTTTCTTTTTTTTTTTTTTTTTTTCTTTTCCATTTACAAAGAAATTACTCGGCGTCTAGATCGCAGACCGGCTCGTTCGTGTTTCATGAAAACTCTGCGGATGAGCTTGTTGCGCGCGTTGGTTGTTTGTTTGTACGATTCGTAACGGAATATTCAGAGCTGCTGATGTTGTTACCTCGTGTACGGAGTACCCGTACAGGACGCGGGGGGCTGTGAATTTTTCATGGGGCTTGAAATGGGAGAGATGTTTCCTCCTTTTTTTTAAAAAGTGAGCTCGCGCCGTATATATACGCGTTTCGAGAATGGAAAACGAAGGGGCGGTGAACAAGCAGCGGTTTTATCTCTTGGAAAGAAAAGTTGGAGGTACGATAACCTCCTTTCGAACAGACATTTCTACCGTCCGGGTTGTTTTTACTTTATAACGTATAAGCTTTTTGTTGAAACAAAAAAAAAAGAAAAACTCGGAGCTTCGCTCGCACAAAAGCCGTCCGCACTTCTGTTATCGCCCAAAAAAATGTACGACCTCGACTGTACCGCCAAAGAGACGCACAAATGACAGACCAGAGACTGGGGGGGAGGGGTATTTTTTCGCCACCACCGCTGCATCGGTATCCCCATATGCAGCGCCGCTTAAATCACGCGAAACGAGCTGCACGCATATGCATGCACGGGGTCTGGTGCATCTTGTCCGAGAGTGCAGGGAGAGCAGCGAGCCGGAAACGAGAGATAACGCCCCGATACTCATCCTCCCGTTGGCAGCTCCCCCTTTTCGATGGCCAAAGTCGTGCCGTTCCGGTGAAAGCTGTTTTTTAGGATGAGGTAAAGGGGAGGGGGGGGGGGTACGAAACGATGAGATATCTCGGTTTATCGCGCACGCACAATGCGACCAAGACTCTTCTACGATATCGGGCAATAATCGAGGATGACTAATGCGAATCGCCTCGAAAAGAGCCCCACCACCCCCGATGATTCGTTCTCCCATGACTTCTCGAGCAAAAGCGGGATTACGTGCGGGCCAGTGAATCGCGAGGATGAATCGCCGACGAATGAATAGGCCCCATACAACGGGACTTTACTTGCCTTTACCGATGCGTGAGTAGCCGAATTGCCGCTGCGGTCGTAGCTCGGGCCATTCTACCCACCCACACGCACGCACGTATATTAATACATGAATGCCAAACGGGGAGTGGATTTGCCGGAATAATTAGATTGATATTCGGGCGAGTATTTCAATTTAATTCGCGTCAGGGGGGGGGGATAATCAATTATATATATTGTACATGTATACGGGTTTAATGGCTCGCGCTGACTCGACGCGCGTCGGATGATGGGACTTTAAAGCACCTTTGCAAAATCATCGATCATTCGATGATCCTGATAATCCTACGGGACGATCGATTATCGTATGTAATCTTTAAGTTGAGTTTGTATGTAGCCGAGGTGTCATGCTGCTCTCGACGAGGATCTGAGTCTGAAAGGTCGTGGAAACTCGCGAAAAAAACGCGGGCGTATCGTGTACAATGGCCGAGCTGATGGCCAATAAAACGAGCCCCTCCCTCACCCTCTAACGTGTCCTGTTGGGGCCATCTTTTTCAACCGGACACCTACACGACAATCGGACATTGAAAAACAACGCTGGGCACCTTTGTTCGTCCATCGAGCTTTATTGTTCGTATAAACATGCGAGTGTTTTTTATTTGCGCGTGCGATTCCACGCCGCTTTTCTCGTACGCGTGCGTCATGTGTGGCGGGAGCAATCGATGCATAGAGTTTTCGGTTGTCATTCACACCCAACTTTTGTTTTATTTGCTATTCTCGTGATTTTTTTTTTTTTTTTTTTTATATTATAGTGCTTTACGTCNAGCAACAAAGTCCTTATTAATAAGCTAGGATTAGCATAACTGCTCGTACCTATACTGGCGAAGTTTAGGCGCTCGTTTCATTGTCTCGTATAGGCCGAGCTTTGCATTAATGACACCTCGAACTCTTTAACTTTTCTTTTTTCTTTTTTTTTTTTTTTTTTTTTTTCATACTGCTATTAAAGTAAGCTTTGCAAGGTTTGAACAATAAAATGTTGAAAAAACACTTCTTGCAACTCATTATTCATAGTTTATTATCAGTATTTAAAAAAAGTATGTATATAAGAGTATGAGATAACTGTTTTGTTATTTTTCGATTTTTTTTCTTTTACTCTTCAAATGTTGAAATCCAACTAGGCCATTGACAATTCATTAAATAAAAAGACTTTCTTACTTCAGAGGTTCCTTTATTAAAAGCTTATTAACATGTGTTTACAAAATTTTCACAAGATATTACCTGAATATATGAATTCCAAATTTAACATGTACAGAATGGATAAAATTACAGTCAAAGTGACAAAAATACCCGAGATTCCGAATGTAAACAAAAAAATTTTCATGAAGCATGCACTGAAAAAACAAAATTTAATCAGAACAGCTTAACGGAATGCGGCAGCTGCGTAGCAAGGTGACCTGTGCCAGTACCTGTCAAGTTAGGTAGCGAGAGCCAAGCAAAATGTGCTTGACGAACCAGGCACGTATAACCAAGCATACACATTTCTCGTCTTGTGACCAGTCACTTTTACCTGGGCTGCCAAGAAGTTTCTGATTGGCTCTAACTTTATTCCGAAATAACGTATTTGTTAATATTACCATACAAATATTTTTGAAATGTATGCACGATGTACATTCAACGCGGAATGTGATAAAACGCATGAAACATATTGACTTATCTCTTGAGGACAGGTATGCAAGTACTGTCTGATCGAGCAATTCAGCTCATGTCCCCAGGCAAATCCGAAATACAATGCGATTAACGTTTACCATGGCTATGGCATTTTCTCTTCATCCACTCCACGCATCCACAAACTGGTTGGCAGGCGTATGGGTGTTCATTGTCCACATGCACTGAGAGTTGATCTTTATGTCTGAAGGTTCGTGGACATAGTCTGCAGTTGTGGGGGTATTCGACCATCTCATTCCGAACTTGGTCCTTGCGTCTCGTCAATTCCTCGTATCTACAAACCGGTTGGCACTCGTATGGGTATTCATTGTCCACATGCACTGAGAGTTGATCTTCATGTCTGAAGGTTCGTGGACATAGTCTGCAATCGTGGGTGCGTTGAAGGGATTCGACCATCTCATTCCAAACTTTGTCCTTGCGTCTCGTCAATTCCTCGTATCCACAAACTGGTTGGCACTCGTATGGGTGTTCATTGTCCACATGCACTGAGAGTTGATCTTCATGTCTGAAGGTTCGTGGACATAGTCTGCAATCGTGGGTGCGTTGAAGGGATTCGACCATCTCATTCCGAACTTGGTCCTTGCGTCTCGTCAATTCCTCGTATCCACAAACTGGTTGACACTCGTATGGGTGTTCATTGTCCACATGCACTGAGAGTTGATCTTCTCGGTTGAAGGTTCGTGGACATAGTCTGTTGTCGTGGGTACGTCGATGAGGGGCTTCGACATGTTTTTCGAGACCAACTGCATTGCCATGGACGAAAGTTGATGGGGACTCATCGGTGATGCGTCGGGAAGTCTCCTCTTCGTGGATTTTCATGTGTTTCTTAAAACTTGTTTTACATTTGTAAGACTTAGAACATACCGAACAGGTGGAGGGCCCCTCATCGGTATGGGTTGCCTCATGTTTCGTGAGATACTCTCTACGTCGAAATGTTTTGGAGCAACTCGAGCAGCTGTAGGGCCTATCATCGGTATGGGTTTTCTTATGTCTCGTAAGATGCTCTCTACGTCGAAATGTTTTCTCACAGTCTGTGCAGCTGTAGGCCCTCTCATTAGAATGGGTTTTCATGTGATCCGTGAGATAGTCTTTACGTTGAAATGTTTTCTCACATACTGTGCAGCTGTAGGCCCTCTCATTAGAATGGGTTTTCATGTGATCCGTGAGATAGTCTTTACGTCGAAACGTCTTGGAACACACGGTGCAGTTGAAAGAGCTTTCGCTAGTATGCATCAGCTCGTGTCTCCTGAGATTCTTTTTTAGTGTAAAAGCTATTGAACACACCGTACAAAGAAAAGGCTTCTCACCGGTATGTGCTTGCATGTGTACAATAAGACTGCCTTTGCGGGTGAAAGTTTTCGAGCACACGGTGCAGGTGAAGAGCTTCTCATCAGTATGAGTCAACTCGTGTATCGCAAGACGGAATTTTTTGGAAAAAGCTTCAGAACACCTCGAACAGCTGAAGGGCTTTTCATCAGAATGGGTGTTCATGTGCTCCATTAGATAGTCTTTACGTTGAAATGTTTTCGGACACCTCGAGCAGCTGAAGAGTCTCTCATCAGAATGAGTTAACTCGTGTATCGCAAGGCTGAATTTTTTGGAAAAAGTTTCCGAACATCTGAAGCAGCTGAAGGGCTTTTCATCAGAATGGGTGTTCATGTGCTCCATTAGATAGTCTTTACGTTGAAATGTTTTTGGACACCTCGAGCAGCTGAAGATTCGTTCGTTGGTGTGGGTTCGTTTGTGTTCCGTAAACTTAAAAGCCGAAATACATGTTTTTCCACAGGAATTGCAATTATAGATACTTTTTCAAAAAGTCTCAATATTATGGCTGGAACGCTGCGCTTGACTGTTATTATCCATGTTGGTAAATAAAAAGGCACAAATGTATGATGTTTGACCAGATGTAACTTTTATAAAGTTAGCAGTAATTTCACTGCCGTTGATTTTTGAAAAACATGATAATACCTCAGAGAATTAAGGCTGGGTGCCTAACAAGTTGTTTTTCTGTCAAGAAGAAAAGTAAAAATTTTATTCGTTCCAAAAGGGATTTTTCTGAGTGTATGCTTATTTATTTGAATCTTAATTAGAATTTTTTTTTTTTCGTTTTTATCATTCGAATGTCGTAAAAAAAATGCGGCCAATACCAAAAACACCATGATTTTAAAACTTTTATAATTTCAAACAAAGATACTAATAGTCTATTACTTTATTTTCAATTTATTACAGTTATCAATTGACAATAATCGTATATCAGTAAAACTTCATTGGTTAACATATTGCCACTGCACAATGTTTATTATTTTTTTTCTTATAAAGCATTACAACTGAGGGTTATTCTACCATCAGATGAAAAAATTGTGCCGATGTAAGATTTCCACAGAACTATACCTATCTATATATGCATTCAATACATAGACAATGTTCTGTGAAAATCTTACATGGGCCCACTATCACCATCTGACGATAGAATAACCATCATTATTTGTGCTAACAGAAATCAACTATCTGGTTAATATCCGGAAAATTATGTTGTATTAAAAGCAAACGAAGAGAATTTTGTCCGATCGCGAACCACAATTTTTTTTTATCTAAAAGAATCTTACCTTTTAATAATCTTGATATCCACTTGTGGTGCTCAATTGACAAAATGTAGAAGTATGCAAATACACACACTGCACTGTATTGGTACGTACAATATATCAGATATTACTTTAAGAATTTCAACATGATGGTTTTCGATTTTACTTTTACGTGAAGTAAGAAATAACGAACCGTACACTTTGATGTACAACAAATCAATGCTTTCACACTACATGAGGACATATCGAGTTGTCGATGTCGAGTGATAATCGAGGAATGCTAATGGCACAATAATGAGTTCTCGCTACGCGTTCAGTCAAACAGCTTTCAATTGGGACTTTTTGGCATCGTTAGCCTGTGAAAACGTCACAACTTACTCGTTGAAATTTAATTCGACTAGATAATATCAAATGAGCTGTAGAACAGAACCTTATACGTATTATAACGTAACCCCGGACTAGACTGAAGAGAACTATAATTGAAAAAAATACAGTTATCGAAATAATCAATATTGAAAAGATACCACACTCTAGTGATGTCGAAAATGATAATGACAAGCTAATGTAATTGGACATACATGAAAAAGAAAGAGTTGGTTTGAGGCAACTATTGCGTATTTACCTTATTCAAATATATTTTTAATAAAAAATCGAAAATCCAACCTTTTTCTTGATTTTTTTTTTATGATGATGATAACATTGTTTTCATTTGTTACCGTGACCATATTTATTTAGTACGTGTATGACAAGAACGGTATGGCTTCGTAAAGTTCAAGTTTAGTTTCATCAAATATTAGTTTTTTAATCAAAGTGGTAGGACTCAAATTTCGTACATCTTTTGTACAAAAATGTACCGTCTAGAGCCTTAATATGTGTGTTATTAATTGTGTGCTCCATCGAATGGAGGTCTAAAATTGTCAACTCTGAATTTACAATTGTTACTGAATAAGGAATAACACTTTGCCATTTTATTTAAAAGTACTGATACTTAGCGACCGCCAATAATTTTTGGCGATTTAATAAAAACTTTTACTTCTTTTACTAAGTACAACGATTGTCAAATTGCTTTTTTTTCGATGAGTATTTTGAATATACACAATATGTTACACTAACGATTCAGCACATCATGATGAGTAAAGGCACGTGAGCTCTATTTTTTTTAGTAAATACACTATACGTGCATTACAGTAAAAAAAAGGGGGGGGGGAAGAATGCTTGTTCCTAATCCAGAGGCAATTTTCGTCTATTTTATTTTAACGACGAATCACTGCGAATTCAAGGTACACGCGACGAGACGAAACAACCTGTGCATTGAGGGAAGAAGGAAAGAAAGCGCAAAGCTGTAATCTTGTTTTCCGAAGCTAAAAGTCTCAGGAAGAATTAAAGTCCGTATTATAACACTTAGTATTCCAAACGTGGATTATTAAGTACAGAAGGAAAGGTGGGGAGGGGTGTACTTTACGCAACAGAGACAGTGGCAAAACGCCCGGGGCTTTGAAACGATTAAACGAGAAATCTCGCTTACTTTGCAGACGTACGGGAGAATCCCCTGTACACGCGCATACCGACGAGAGAAAGAAAATCCCCCCCCCCTTGGAAGAATAGTCGCAGAGGGAAGGGGTTGAGGATCGAAGGTCTTAACCGAGGAGTTAGCTACCAACTCCCATGGCGCAGCAACAAAGTCCTTATTAATAAGCTAGGATTAGCATAACTGCTCGTACCTATACTGGCGAAGTTTAGGCGCTCGTTTCATTGTCTCGTATAGGCCGAGCTTTGCATTAATGACACCTCGAACTCTTTAACTTTTCTTTTTTCTTTTTTTTTTTTTTTTTTTTTTACTTCCCTCCATACAACAATCTGCTCAGGAGAGACTTTGCAAGGATAGCTCTTTTCTGTATCTTCTTCCCCGATCCAGCGACCAAATCGAAAAAAAAAAGCCCCAAAAGAAAGATCTCCTCCGTACACCGGAAGCCCAGCGATTTATCATCATCCCTGGCCCGCGTTTCCATCGGAATATTGAATACGACAAGATAATCTCTGCCACGTCGTCGAGCTGTTGTGCATCCTTCGCGCGGGCGAGCACGTCGTGTGCCTAATGTAGCGCGAGGGCCCCGATAAGCCGCGCGCGCGTGTGTTCGCGACGTTAACCTCCGTCGGTTGGTTTTTCCGAAAGTGCAGCAGCAGAGGGAAAACGAAGCGCGTCGTACGCACATCGACGTGGAATGCACGTGATGAACCGATTGTTAATATATTATTTTGGCGGTGACGCCGAAACGAGGGTACAATTTTTCGGAGAGAGAGAGAGAGAGAGAAACGAAAGCAAACGTGGAAGAGGAAATCTCCTTTATAGCCGAGTTGATCTCCCACGTTTTGGATGAATTATTGATGGCCACACACGGGCATTTAACGGGTTATTAAGTCAACCCAATACACGATAGACACTCCGGACCCTCGTCTTCTTTGCGGCTATTGTCGGGCGCGTCAAAAGTTTACAGCCTTTGTTTTTCCTTCTCTCCTCCCTGTTTATGGACGCAGCGACGCAATACCCTTGGCAAAGATATCCTCCTTCCGTCTAACGTTTTCCCAACGGCTTCGCTTCGGGGGACACGCTTCGCACGTATGAAAAAAAAAAAAAAAAAAAAAAAAAGGAAAAAACTCGGAATCACATCATCGCGCGCGTTATTGTTTCACCCCGAGAAAATATTGCAGGGACCGCGTACGGGGTGGGTAGTTGTCGTATAACCGTGTGGTCGTTTATTTATGTGCTCTTCGAATGCTCGCACGGAGAGGATCAGCCTAATGGTTTTATTATACCAATAGCTGCTGGAGGATGAGCCGAGAAAGTTGGAAATGTGTGTGTATATATACCACCGGACGCCTCCACCTATACACACGCCAAAGTCCTCGATGTTTTCGCGCGAGCAACGCTGGATTTATGGGGCTCCGAATAAACAGCGCCTCGCGCGAGGATTTGCGCCCGTGGTGACGTGATACAGGTACTTTCCCTTTGCCCCCGTTGGGAGCGCGTGGGGACCTCTCCCCCTCCCGCACAAAGTTGTATTCCTTTTTCTACAACCGAAGGGAGGGAAAAAAAAAAAAAAAAGAAAAAGAGAAAATCCTAATACATCCCATCCCAAGGACGGACCAACTAACTTGGGCGTCAAAGAGGGGTGGTCGGGTGAGGGTGTACATATATGTGTATATTCGGGGGCATCGCCACGGCTCGAGAATCCAGCGGTCAGCCATCAGGCGCAGGAAGAAGAGGAGGAAACTGCAGACGCCTCGGGGTATATATGTGTGGGCGCATCGGACAACCCCCTCCACCGGAGGCTCGTGGTTTTCCACTAAATTTCCCCGCGAGAGATATACCCGTGTTGTGCCTCACCCCGGTCATGATTAAGTGAGCCGGCCGTTGATTTAGAGGCTCGTCGCAACGCTCGTCCTATATATATGTAGCCGTGCTCGTTTTCCTCCGCACACCTCGCGCAGTAACTCTCTCGCGGCGGTGGTCAGACGTATACATACAACGGATCCCCGACAATTTTGCCCCGCTGAATTATACAGATCGACGTGTGCTCCCGGAGATACTTCTACATACACACACCTGCTAGGGATACTTTACTCCTCCAAACGCAACGTAAATATATATATGTCCCTCGCTCCTCGAGTTGCTACGTATACTTATTATGTAACAATATAAGACCGAGAGGTAAAGAGTTTGGCGGTAATAGGTGAACGATCGATGTCCACCACCTGTGCGCCATCGTGTCTCGGGTGTAAGAATCAACAAGTAAGCGTGTGGCTGTGCTTGAAAACTCGGCATCAGCTGCGCTCTTGTACTACCCGACGGGGTGTACAATAAGTAGGGAGAAGAAGAGCGACTTTTCTCGCGCCTTTTTCTTTTTTATACCCCCGGCCTATACATCAAAGAGAAGAAGAAGAAGAAGAAAAAAGGGAGTTGGGGGAATGGGAGCCAGTGCCCCCGTGACGTCTCGCTGTCACCGCTCTAACCGAGCACCACTCCGATTAAGTGTTTTCGGAGCTGCAGCTACGAAGGGGTGTGATGAGCCACCCCCCACCCCCATC